AAATGATTCATAAGGTAATAAACATCTTTGCATGAAGGTTTAACATAAACCTTTTTTCAATTTTTGTGGCTATGATGATTCTGCTCCATGGGATTAACGCTATTCAGACATTTATGCAAAAAAGGCAAAACAACAAAAACATTAAAGTAATTTTTTTTCTCAAGGTTGAATTCAATTTAAAATTCAAACGTTATATTACTGAAAACTGAGGTGTAAAAACAGTTTGCACAAACATAACTTTCTAACAATATGAGAAATATAATATATGGACATAAAGGAAATATGAGAAAATCCAATTACAAAGAACAAAACATAAAAGACAAGTAAAATTTAGAGAGACTAAGCACACATTACTTGCTGTATGTTACCAGAATTAACTGGGATGTCGCAAGTGTAAAACTTCAAGACATTAGATATGTATGTGTTAGCTATCATAACAGCATACTGTTGTGTCTAAGCATATAGCGATACATTGTCAATTAATTTTAATATAATTTAAGTCTGATTGTTCCAATTCTGATCACCTGTCAAAGCTACCATTTAGAAGGATTTTAACTAAAACTTCAATTAAGTGTACTCGATGTGAATTGTAAAGTTAATTTTTAAACGACTTAGTAATTGTTCAACGAAAGACTTAAAATACAAAATATTATTTAATGTAGAATCTGTTTTGTATATTTTGATCTGAAGAGGGACGAAATTCTGAACAAGGCACGCATATGTGTCTTAAATTATCGATCGGTCACAGTGATGATGTCTCAATAATTAATTATTTGCAAGCACTACATGATATGAACATCACCTTGATATATGTAATTTGTTGAATGAAATTATAAAAATAAACAGTAATATGCTGTTGTAATTATTATTGAATCTACAAATGGAAGTACATAAAATGTATACATAATACACGGAATTTGTAATTGTCTACTTTTTTCTGATGGGACTACACATTGAACTGCTAATAACCGGGGAATTATTTCTTGCTTATTCGGCCTAACGAATAGCCAGTAGAAAGGCCACGATATTATCTATTTTTTGTATCACTTTATTGTATCACACTCTTAGCAGCATGATACGACAATTGTCTTTTTATGCGAGAAATAGATAACAGCCCAACACCACACGGAATGTCATATATAATGTTTGTTATGCTTTAGGTGATAGTATTTTATAGACGGATTAGACAAATAACATTTTATATAAGAATGTGAAAGATTATTTTGAAGGGGGTCTAAAAATGATAAGCTTGAAACCTTTCATAAATTCACTGAAATTTACATGGGTTAGAAGGTTGATCAGTAATGAAAAAATTACAAGAAATTCTTGCTTTCCACGGGATTGATTTTGAGTTACTAGAAAATACAGGTGTCAAAAACATAGAAAATAGTATGACTGTATGCACAAATCAATTTTGGAAAGATGACTTGAGTGCCTGGAAAGAAAGTATTGCTTTAGATATTGAATATACATGGGAATATTTTTTTAATATGCCTTTATGGTTTAATGAGAAAATTAAAATAGAAAATGATGTTGTTTTTTTACAAAGACTGGTATGAAAAAGGTATACACATTGTACTGTGAGTTTGACTGTCCCTCTGGTATCTTTCGTCCCTCTTTTGTAAACGATTTATTAGATGAAGCTGGAGAATTTTTTTCCCTCACCAAATTCCAAGAGATTTATTACATACGTACAGACTTTCTGAAATTTTATGGCTTAACAAAATGTGTTCCAGAAATTTTATTAAAAAGGCTACATCTCCATTAAATAATTATTACCCAAGCATTCCTAGCAATATCAAGATTTTTTTAAACATAAAAAGGTTCTAAAGATATGTACCTCATACTACGAAAAAATCTGACTCAACCTACAAATAAAAAGAAAATAATGGAAAAGTTTGGTGTCACTGCCTGATGGAACTCATTTATAAACTTCCATTTAAAATTACAACAAATAGTAGATTATAGTGGTTCCAATACAGGATAAACTACTTAGTTTTGACTACCAATTATTTCCTGGAAAAGATAAAATTTGTACAAAGCCCTCTTTGTACTTTTTGTAAAATACAACCAGAAACCATTATACACATATTGTGGGAATGTGAAAAAGTACAAATTCGGTTGGAAAATTTTGATACATGGACTTCATCTGCAGCACACATAACACTTAATTATAATTGTAAGTCTTTTGTATGTGGTATTTTTGATGTTAGAAACTGTATTGTACAAAATAAGATATTGCTTTGTATTAAATATTATATCTATTCAAGTCGATGCTTGAAAAAAGTTCTATCACTACAGGCACTCAAAAAAAAGTTAAATGATCTGTACTGAAAAAAACTGTAGCTATTTATAAACAATACAAGAACAGTTTGAGAGAGAATGGAATAGCTGGCACTTTCTGTGTTTACACTGAATAACAATCACACAAGTACATGAGACTTTTGTTTTTTAAATTTGCTAATGAAACTTATAAATCTGACTTTTTACTTTCCATCTGCCTTGAATCAAGTACCATATAAATGCAGTGATATATAGAGCAAACCACTGATGACCAATTTTTCTTTTTTTTTCTACAATTTTTTGTTTTTTTCTTTTAATTTCTTATTCCATTTTTTTTTTCATCTTCAAAATTTAACTATAAAAATAAAACAAATACAAACAAATTATTTTGCAGCAGAAAACTCAAACTGTTCTTCAACAAATAGTAATTAAAAAAATTTGTTAAAATTGACTTAATTTTAATTACCTGACATTGTATTATCTGCACTATAAAGGATAATTTATATATCTTTGTATATTATCATGATTATGCATTATGTGTTTTGAAAAAACAAAATAAATATAAAAAAAAGAGTGTAATGCTTCTTTAAATAATTGTATTGGGGTGTGAAAACGTTGACCTCAGCACATTTAGTATGAAGCGCGGAAGCGAAAGCATATATTTATGAACTACAGCACGTGGATTTGGATGTGAATATCCAAAAAATTTACAAGTATATCATTTCTTGGCTTTCGGAAATATAACAAATTGAATATTGTTTAGAAATATGCACGACACAATCGCCAAACATATTGAATAATCTGACGTCACAAATATGTTTCCTTGACGATGACCTCATATTGATTTTGAATCAATAAAACGGAAATGTCAGTAGCAACAACATGTCCTTCATTTCGTGAAATAATAATAATTAATAATAATAAGTCAAAATTGCTGAACTTTTTAACGATATGTACTTCATCATCATCATCATCATCATCATCATCATCATCATCATCATCATCATCATCATCATCATCATCATCATCATCATCATCATCATCATCATCATCATCATCATCATCATCATCATCATCATCATCATCATCATCATCATCATCATCATCATCATCATCATCATCATCATCAATTAATTCTTTATTAGCCGAAAGGTGTCGGTAACTATCATATGCATTACTCATAGTCATGATAGTTGAAGGCTGTGCAAAGTTTTGAGCGCCGTACAAAGTTATCTATATACTCGTCTTTTGGTCTTAATGAATATTAGTCTCATTTGCAAAACTACCACATACTTCATTATGAACTATTTTTTTGTCGAACTGATAAGTCGTTAGACCAATGTTTTGACATGGTAGATATAATAATAGGTATTATTATATGAATATAAATTATCTGTTTTCTCATTGGTTAAGAACATAGGAAATCCTCTTTGATAAAACATTATATTCACCGTGGCAAAAATCACTAGAGGTTAACATAAGATTTGGAACAGCGTCCGTGTAACTAAATATAGATATTCCAAGGCAACGTCAATGACGTAGGTTTATGACGTCATGCAAGACCCAAAAAAACAAACAACACTACTCTAAACAGAAAACGAAAGGCTGAACAAGATGAAACCCTTCATAACCCGGGGGATCTCAGGTACTACGGATGGAAAAGCAGATCTTGCTCCACATCTGGCACCCGTAGTCTGGCTGACGTAAGTACAAACTCTGTCATAAGTCTAATTCTATAGCTCACGATCGGGGAAATGTGGAAGGGGTTGTAGTTACGACAATTGGCATATATCCGTCGTCATCTGTGAAACAGTTTTCCTATAACGGTCAACCAACTCGTGATGTTGTCCCAAATATTTTCAATTTTACCACTTGGAACTCTTGATTAAATACCTTCCTTGTGACTGCAATCCTCTATCAAGGAAATCAAGATAGGAAATACAAACACTTTAATATTGCATCATGTTGGAGATCTATACTCCATATGCAGGAGCTGCTGGATTATTGCTACATAGAATTGGAAAGTTCACTATTGGGAAGCTTAAATCATCTCTTTTGTCGTTAAGGTTTGTTTTCAACCGACCCTCATTGTCAATTTATACACGTAGGTTAAGATAAATAGCAGATCAAACTGTATCTTTTGTATCTTTTTATCTAAAGTTCGATGGGATAGATGCGTTCAACATAGTCACTCAAGGTTGAATCATTTAGTGAGAGAACATTATCTATATAACGGAAAGTGAAATCGAAGGATAATGTTAACTTCATTACTTTCTTCCTAAGAAGCTCCTGTATGACGTCAGCCTCATATGAGAAAACGAACAAGTTGGCAAGATAGAACCACAGATGGTTCCCATGGGAATGTCGATTGTTTGTTGATATCTTAATAATATCAGTTTCAGGAAACAATCTCGTTTGAATCAGAGTGAATTTTCAAAAAGTACGATTTATCCCTCCCTAAGAAAAGATACTTGACTAAATAATGCATCTTACATGAAAGACAATTAATTTGATGCTTTTTTTTCTTTTTTTTATTTCAAACCCGGACGTTCATGTAATAACATTAACGGTGCCAATTTTACTGCACCAGATGCGCAGCTGGACATTGTTATACATGTAAATATTTTAGATGTTGTAATCTAATATGATATCGATAAATTAACACGCCATTTGTGCTTGATATATAATTTCCTGATAAATCCTCTATCCATATTACTTGTTTCGTTATACTTTCTATAGAAAAATGAAGGCCATTGTTGTTGTAGTTTCGATTTTAGAAATTGTTCTTACTTCCAGTGCAAATGAAGAGAACAACTTCAGACTATCGATAAAAGGAGCTAAAGATGTTCCAATCCGTGGTTTTCTCCTAGGCAATCATGGTTCAGGTACTTTCCCTAAAGACTGGAAAAACTGGATGCAAAAGCAAATGGACGACAGACAAACGAAGATGGAGAATCTAATGAAAGGAAGTGATAATACAATGATGGCGAAGATCGAAGGGCTGAAACAATTACTCCAGAACACACAAGGAAAAATTGAAACAAGCTTGACTGCTATTTTAAAAAAAGTTGATTCTATTCAGTCTAATCAAGGGGATAAACATGGTGAGCTTTTGTTAACATATAGTGTGTTTTAATAGTAACATATTGATAATTGTCATAAGTATAGTAAATACTGTTTCGTGAAACTTGTGTTTGTTTTCTTGTTGGGCTATTTGGCCTTTTTATCTTATTCATTATTTTTATAGAATGTTTTTGGTGTTTCTGTATTTATTTGTTGTTGTTCCGAACACAGAAGAGTTTCAACTAAATATTTTAACAAATGTAAACATCTTTTATATTGTTTATTCATTTATTTTAGGATATATCGGATGTTTTCTTGATGCTAGCAGTCGTCACTTGTCACATAGATATAAAAACTTCGGCGATGCAATTACCTTGGCAAAATGTCGGGAAAACTGCAAAGGTTACAAATACGCTGGCCTACAAGTAAGTTTACATATTCTAAGCATTACAAGAATTCCAGTTTGGCGATGTCGTGGTAGCGGGCTTGCCTCTAGTGGTAGTTGGTGCAATTCAATCAAACATAAAACACGAACATTAGTATTTGGTTCTTCTCCTTGCTTTTGGTATGTAGGAAAACGAGTAAAGACTACTGGTCAGCTAGAATCATTTGTCGATATACATTTCTTCCGCGGAATGTCATCTTTTGAGCTAGCACTATACAATGTGTGTTGCTCTAGTCAAATGACGGAATATATCAGATCAATATATTCTTGGTCTTATCAGAATGCTTATTTGGCACAGGACATAAAACACTAATTCATCCATCCATCCATCTAACAATTTATTTACATTTTTACCTTCTAATTTCTTTAGTTCTGCTTTTGTTTAAATATTTATACAGGTTTACACACCTACATACGTGAGAATGTACCATAATACTCTTTGTATTAGCCAATATATTTTGTCTTCCTAGCTTCTTGAATCATGAAGCGTGATCTTTTAGGTAGGCTACAGTTAAACAGGGTCTGAAGACTTACAACAAAAACTGGAATTGACAATATATCAGTGTTATGATAAATAATTAGCACCAAATCATAATATATAATTATTTTAAACAGTATAGTGTGCAGTGTTTTTGTGGAAACCAGCTGGAAAACACAAAATATCCAAAGAGACCAGATTCAGAATGCAACACGAAATGTCGAGGAGAACCAAGTAGGATGTGTGGAGGTACTTGGAGAAATTCTATCTATACAGGTTTGTTACATATACATACATAATATGAATAAAATAAGATATAGAGTACTGGTATATTAGACAGTAACACGATGAGTAAAAGTACTTAACCAACTTCTAGACATGCTAGAGGTGAACATTAAGTCTTCAACAATTCACAAATTGTGAATGAATTGACAGACACTCTTGTAGATCTACCTTAAACAACACATTGTCAAATAGATATATTATAAAATACAATTTCCGATATCACACGAACAGTTTTGTAACATTACGTATACAAAACTCTAAAACACATTTTTTACAGACATGTACATAGAATGGCGTATGTAAATCGTTTGTTTTTATTTATAACAAGAGGTTGAATTTCTTTTAATTTTGAGAGCATATTACAATATGACAATCAACTTAAAAAAATATCCAGAGTTTGTTCCTGCGATTTGATGCTTGATCCATTTAAAATTTCAAAATATTGTTTTGTAAAACTTTATTTCTATATTTCAGTTTAGTGAAAAAGAGACAAGAACGCAACAGCCCAGAAGTGATAACCCACCGTTCAAATATTTAAATAAATTCATCAAAGCTTTTACACTATATTTTTCTTTTTCTACTGAACAATGAAGCTACAACATCGTCGTTGATCATTGCATTTTTCAAAAGTCTATGAAAAATGTCGAACTGAATCATTATTTCTTATTTGACTGTAAGACAGAATTTCATTAGATGTCCGTAGTATAAATCCACCATTTTCTACATAAGAAGATGCCTGTACCAAGTCAGGAATATGACAGTTGTTATCCATTCGTTTGATGTGTATGAGCTTTTGATTTTGCCATTTGATTATGGACTTTCCGTTTTGAATTTTCAACGGAGTTCGGTATTTTTGTGATTTAACTTTACAGTTTCATGTATTCTGTTCTTACCTAGAAAATATGGAAACATGATGACGCTTTCATTTTGATATTCGATATCCAATTGTTGAGCTTTAAATGCAACCAATCTTGAAATAGCTGTGCATCTTTTCTCATAGACAAAAGGAAATAGTATCTTGCAGATTTTTATAATTTCACTTTCAGATATATTGATGATGTCCTGTTATTCAATAACTCACATATCAGTGTATGCTTTAATTTATATGATATCTGCTCCGTACAAGAAAATTGCTGCGTCATAGTTTTGAGGAAGAACAACTACAATCGACACCTTATACGTTTTACAGTCACCATTATGATTTGGTTGACCAATACGATGTATTTGAGTTTTAACTCCCATTGCTAGATAATGTTCCGTTCCACGATTGTATTATTGACACAATGGTCATGACATATAATTGATGCAATCATTTCTATAAAGTAATTATAAAATGATGGAGTATTAAAAATACTTTGTACCCTAATGCATAGATGGCTTAGTCTTATTTGGCCCAACCTTTTGTATTTTTTTTTCTTTTCAATATATAATCATTTTCGTGTTTGATTCGGCTCTCCGACATCCTTTGATAATGCGTCAATATAAATTTCAAAAACAGAAATCGTGTTTTCGATTCACTTAATTATAAGCTTGATATCTTTATTGATTAGTTACAACCATTGAGTTGATGCCACAGTAGATAGACATGTCGTTTCTAAAAGTTTTAGAAGCCCAGCAGTCAACAATATTATCTAGACATATATAATCATGGTGATACAGTCAATTCTTGTAAAATTCCTATTTATAAAATGTCGATGTCTTGAAAACCCTACGGTTTTTGTAACTCTAAGACATCGTTGACCACTTTTTGCACAAACTTTTTTTTTTTCAATATGCACTTCATCTTTATGTTTGATATGACTTTCCAGCCGTCTTGATTCGAGCGCAACTTATGATTCGCATGCTGAGGAAATGTGGGTCTGATCCATTAAATTATACTTCGGTTTTTTTGTCTAAATTTTTTTCAACTTTTGTGTCAATGCCACTGCTGGTGATCGGTTCCTCTCTGAAGATACTACCATCAAATACTCATGATTCTTGTGTAGACATAAAATCATTGATACGGTCATTTTCTGTAGTATTTATCATAGAGCCGCAGTTATTGGCATTCAAATTCATCATTCGAAAATTTATTGACAACGCCATGGCAAAAAAGAAATAGACCGTAGAATAAACAACAGTATACAGACACAACATAGAAAACTGAACACTAGGCAACAGGAAACCCACCAAAACAAGGGGTGATCTCATGTGCTCCGGAAGGAAAAGCAGATCTTGTTTCACATTTGGCATCCGTTGTGTTGCTCATGCAAGTACAAACCTGGTGATAAGTCTAATTCGATAGGTCAAATTCTGGGAAAAAAGGGGAGGGATTGTGGTTACGACGATTGGATAATTTCTGTCGTTATCTGAGAAACTGTCAGTTAGACAGTATTTGTTTGGGTTTTTTTTTTGGTTGAATCAGAGTGATTGTTTACAAAGTACGAAGTATCCCTCCATAAGACAAATCACTTGTATCAACATTGGCAATTTTTATGAAACAAAGTAGGACCAGCTCCATTTGTCTTTACGTTTTGAATGGGGAATACTTGTGTAAAGTTTAGAAAAGTCAAATGTTTTAATAATATTGCAAGATAAAAGAACCTTAGATTAAAAGTACTCTAACAGATCTTTGGATATTTTTAGTATCCGCATCTAATACACACAACCTCTAAAAAAGATAGAGTCACACTATCTTTGAAGCCCATCTTTGATTGCTGGTAAAATTAGTGTTAATGGTTTAGAAAGAGGATTCGTGGAGCACTTGGATGACCTAGCAATATAACGTTGTTTGTCAGGACTCATAATTATGTAATCTAGGTATCCAATCGAGTGAAAGAAGGTCCAGTATTCACCTTTGGTTGATATTGTAAAGGATATTGTAAAGGAACAAGTCGTTTGAATTATTTTTGCTAAGAATTCCGTTCGCGCTGTTCCTTTGGTTTTTATGTGTTTTTGTTGTGTTCTTGTTGTGCATGTACTTATTTTGTGTCATGGATGGATACTCCATATCATTTGTTTTTCTATTATAGAACAGTCCTATGATTATCTAGAATTTCCTCCTTGGTAAATGTTGTGGGGATATATGTAAAGTTTTTAAGTGAACTGTCAATATCTAATTCATTCATCAAGCAGTTAATGTGATGTGATGTGATTTACACACAAAAACGCTTTTGTTTGGGGCTTTTTCTGCTTGGACAACAACATAATTGTCATAGAGGTAGGACAGGTGCTTTGCAACATTTGGGTCTTTAAAGATTGATATAACATGTGTATTCATAGAACCATCCAGTTTTTTAAATTCTGATTTGAATCAACGACCGCATAAGAATCAATCAATTCGGAAAGAGTATCTGCATCTTCTTTCTTGCGTTTACTCAACTGCCTGGCATAACCCGTTACTGCATCCATCAGTTTTTAAAAGTTGTGCACTCAATTGATGGATTGAGGCTCACGATATTTGGGGCCTTTGGATAACACATTACGCAGAGAGGCGCTATTGACAATGTTACGGTCACCAGTAATAACGTAGCCAGTCAGATTATATATGAATAAACTGATCATAGATAGCAGGATTAAAAATGTGTACGCCAGACGTGCGTTTCGACTACAAAAGACTCATCAGTGACTCTCGAATCATTAAATCATAAAATATGAGGCACCACTCGCTTCGGGTATAATTCAAATAGACAGCTAAAACAGTTCGTATTCTACTGTTATTTTTGTGCAATTTATTTTGTTTTCCATTTTTTCAATTTAAAGCTTTCCGATAAAGGTAAAGACGGCAAAGTAACTCAACACAGAAGAACATGGAATGCATTACTTAATAATTTTCAATAAGCACATCACGACTTACCGTTACTGTTAAATTTTTTTAACATTTTTCGTCAATCCAGATATTGTTATCAAATGTGTAACGTGAATAATTAGTGCTCCCTTGATTCATTTCGAATCATAGTAGGTATAGTGTTCGGCTGGGATCTTTTTTTATCGAGTGATTCGATCGGGTTTTTTCGAGTGTGACCACGTTTTTTCGAGTGAATATGATAAAAAAAAAATGTGAAATAGATGCTTAAACTTAATATACAAGATCATACAAGGTAAGTTAATATTGGCGATAAAAAGAAATCATCATCCCTATATTATTTTGTGTTCTAAAAGTTTAGTTTAGCTTTTCAATGGTTTTATTCCAAAATATAGAATAAAGTTATTTGTGTACAAGTACCAATGCAAATGTCGAAGGAATGTATATTTGGAATCTATATATCCTTAGATATAAAGACACTTTATAAAGATTCTTGTTATTGCAGTGAGAAGGACACTTTTAGAATAAATTCATTTTTATACGAGAGCAGTCCGGGTTTTTTGAGTGCGGTAAAGGTTTTGATCGAGTGATTTAACAAAATTCCAATGGCTTAAAATGTTATATGTCAGTGAGATTATGTTTAAAAAAACAATGAAAAGATTCAAATAAAGTACTTTTCAAAGCACGAAACCAATGCATTTACCCAGAGTGATGATACTGTAGTATGTAACACGTTCATTCGTAAAAGGATTGTATATTAGTATATAGTATTGATTGCCACATCTTTTACATTGCATGGACATTGGCATTGGTATATTTGAATAGATAAAACATGTCCACGCCTATGTAAAAATGGTGGAACTATCTAACAAGTCAATGCCACGGTAGACATGATGTATCGATCCAAACATACGTATATCGATGTCGATTCAACTAAATATGGATATCATACAGTAAATATTCGTGTTGTAAACAATATTAATGTGAGCACAGACATATATATAAAGAAAAGGAAATGTGGTATGAATGCCAGTAAGACAATAGATATAGGTCACCGTACGGCTTTCAACAATGAGAGAAAACCTTATACCTTATGGTCGGCTATAACAGACCTCAACATAAAAAAATTGAAACAATTAAAACCAGAAAACTAACGACCTAAGTTATACAATACAAAGTACGAAAAAACAATTTGACGGACATGAACCAGGCTTTTGACTTGGGACAGGCATATCAAGATTGTGGCTGCGTTAAACATGTTTGTAAGCCCTTAACACTACCCCTAACTTTGGACAGTGGTGTTACAGCACAAAAAAAGAACAAACTGTTAAAATCAGTTACAAATGGCTTTACTCAATAGATCGGTACGAAGCACAAACAAACCAACTAACATAAAAACAATAGATAAAAAGTATCGATATAAGAGTACTCGCGGTTACTGAAAAGCTAGTTCAAAGCTAGATAAAACTAATAAATAAATCATGTTTTCCCGGACTTAAGTATCAAGAAGTACAATGTTGGATTTAGACGTACGTACATTTTGTGTGTTAAGCGGATATGTGCATTTCTTTAACAGAAAATACACCCTAAATGTTTCATTTACTATTTGTCTTGATGATAATTTTTTTTTATCGTTTTATGAATGGAAAACAAGAACAATTTTCAAATGCTACTACTGCGATGAGGATTATGATCAATCGTATGTTATACTTGGTCACACAGCAATAAACCACTATGATAGCTTCCTTTCCAACAGTTAGCATTGCTTTAAAAGG